AGAAATTTTTTAATTACTTTTAAATTTATTAAATTACTATTTATTTAAAAACTGACAGACTAATTATTGTTTAATTTGGCTTTAGAGCTCATATAAAGTTAAAAATATATAATTTAAAGATATTTGCAACAACAACAAAAATCATCTTTTAAAAAAAAACTCTTTGTAAAATTTTATAATACACTTCCAAAATTTAAAAATTTTAAATTATTTTTTAAAATGAAATATTTCGATAATATTTGGCTTCTTAAAAATACTTTAGGTATAATAAATAATGATCTGACTACTTTAATATGAGTGCTACATGGCATATGGCTATGTTTATATTATATTTATATATCTCTATGGCGTATATATTTATATGGTCAAATTATTTAGCTCAAAAGGTAATAAACTTTCCAGGTAACTTTGAACTTCCTGGAAAAATACTAAAATTTTCTTGCACAAAAAATAAAACAAATGATCATGACAGTTGCACAAAAAGAATCATAGCCCAGGTTGAGGCTTGACTTAAAATGAGGAAGAAAGAATAAAAGGTTCATACCTGTTTGAATCTAGGAGATTATTATAAAAGTCCAATTTTATCAGAAAGCATCACTCTAATAAATAGTTATTAAGAAAATCATGAAAAGAAGTCATGATCATATGATGTAGAAAAAGTACAAGATTTTTTTTTTTTAATTGTTAACTTCCCAAAGTTGAGAAGGTCACTATAGTGGAGTAGGCTTCTTTAGTTGTGGTTACATACATCTTTTAACTCTATAACTCCAAAACACAAACCTTGAAAAACAAGGCTACTGCACAGAGACACAAGTTGAGGAAACACCACCATGTCCCTGGTACTACTAGGGATGTGATGGGAATCAGACTTGGAATTTCTTGCTTATGATGCAACCACTCTACCACTACAGCATTGTAAATTACAAGATTAAGATATTAATGGGATCATTGCATGGTCTGAACCACTTAAAAGAGAACAAGTAGAAACTGAGCACAACTCTGAGTCAGAGACAAGTTACAAATCAAGAAGTGAATGTAAGTGATTAGGGTTGTCTAAAAAACAAGTCGCAAAGTTAATTATCTGAGTAAAGGATTAATAATGATACAATTTTTGAATTAAAGTGTTAGCAGGGTCAATGGTGCTACAGCCAAGCCTTTCAGTGTGATACATATTAAAGTTACTTTTAACAAGAGTATTGGCTGAGGGATAATCCGAAAATTTTGTTTAATTTAATTATAATCAATATCAATGAGCGTAATCTTGGGAAAAAACAAATTGATAAAGAACAAAAAAAAGTGATTGAGTGAAGTAGTGCTAAGTAAATGCACATAAAACATTAGTCAGTAAATTCATATTTCATAACAAATAAGTAATTAATACTTAAGTATATGCCCAGACCAATCCTGTTATTAATATAGTATAAATAGTGAATGCTTAAAGTAAGTTATTAAATCTTATTTAGTGTAAAATAATTTTCATTTGTTTCTGCAACAAATTGATCACACACAGGTTATGAATGGGGTCATCCAATTAGTTTGGTATAGGAGATGTAGTTCTAAGAATGTATCATAGATTTTAGAGCTAAAAGTATAATAAAGCGCTGAAAATCAGAAAAAGTACAGAGGCAAAAAATAATGGGGTTGTTATAACCAATTAAAATTAAATAATGATGTATGATGATCTCCCATTCAATCAGAAATATATTTTGATCACTAATAATGATTTGCATAGCACTAATGCTAATTGTCAAAGACATGTTGTTGCATGAGGATTATAATGTTTTATCTGACATTTTTTATGTTGTAAAAATTTAATTTTGATATTTCATTGTTAAAATGTTTTACCTCTATTATTCTTTACAATTTAAAACTATACATTCACATTTATATTTTATAATTAAATTTATAATATTATTTATATAGCTTTTAAGTTGTTTGTTTTTGTTATTATTTGTTAACTGTTTATAACTTTTATTGCAAAATTCTTATAACATAAAAAAAGACAAATAGATATTGTTATTTTAACAAGACCCTATTGATCTCATGCAACCATGTCTATACTACAGCTTTCATTGCCTGCATTCTATGTCATGTTAGTATTGAAACATAACCAAACCTTTCTTCCATTGTTAAATATCCCAAAACCTATACCTACATTATCACAATTCCAACATTTTAAGGGATTTGGTAAGAGTAGTTTAATATGCACAGTAGCAATGGAGTAGCAATATATACTTATATCAATTTATACATACAAACATGGGCATATGTAGTGTATATAGTATATATAGAAATGCAAAGATAAAATAAAACTATTGCAAGATAACTTACCATTCCTGTGGGGTTAAGTTAGTCTTTTAGTAAACTATAAGTCACGAAGACCAGAACTAAGGTAATATAGTTTGTACAAAAAAATAGTATGAAATATGGTAGATCAACAAGTTAAAAATATTGGTCTTACCAAATGAGAGGTCAACTTCTTTTAAAAAACAGTAAAAGTCTATAAACATTTGATAATTCAGAGAAACCAGCAGATTTTAAACATAATAAGTACACAATGGCTAAAAAAAAGCTGTTACTTAGTATACAGAGAACATTAAAAAAGTTATCAACACAACCAATCAGGAAACAAGCAACCAATCAGGAAACAATCAACAATATATACTGAAAAAATTATAAAAAATGTTAATTAAAAACAATATTGTTGTCAGAATAATCATAAGAATGCTTATGTAGACTGTACAAGCAGTGTTATGTAGACTGTACAAGCAGTGTTATGTAGACTGTACAAGCTGTGTTATGTAGACTGTACAAGCAGTGTTATGTAGACTGTACAAGCAGTGTTATGTAGACTGTACAAGCAGTGTTATGTAGACTGTACAAGCAGTGTTATGTAGACTGTACAATCAGTGTTATGTAGACTGTACAAGCAGTGTTATGTAGACTGTACAAGCAGTGTACAAAGCTGTAGTGCAAACAGTAACAAGCTGACATAAGATAGAGAATAAAAACAAAAAGCTAGATAAGAGTTTATTCTAAATCTTCCTGTAGAATAGATTCTGATTAAGAAATATCAACAAACCTATTTTTGTATTACTTTTTTGTGTATTCAACTTCATATTGTTTTGGAGGATTTCATGTTTAGGTAATTCGCTATGTTCCAATATTTACATTTTTATTAATATTAATTCACTACATACCAGTAATTTACATTCAAGGTAAATGTTTATTTCATGTTAATATTGAAAAAGTCAACACTGAAGTTTGAAAGACATTATTTGTTATTGAGAATTTGAAGAAGTTGCTTAATAAAATTGGATTCTGTGCTAAAAAAAGTATAGCCTTAGGTTTATGCCTTTAATATGAATAATATTTGAGTTCATATTAATAAATGTGAGGTCATTATTTAATAATTCCTTTTAGATTTAGATAATATTGACATATCAAAGAGTCTCTAGAGAGGCTATATGATAAAAAAAATATGTTATACTTATTGTAAAAAAAAATGAACTTATATTCATTTATAATAATTTGTCTGTTTATATTTATTTTTATTGAAATATAAAAATTCTGTTTTAAATGTAATCTTTCTCCATAATTTTCCTTATTTATTTACTTTTTCAAATCTCCTTAAATATTAAAAAAATATCTCCTTAAAATCCTTACTTTTAGCCTCAGTTTTAATATTGGTAACCCTGTATGTTTTAGTTCTGATGACAATCATGAAAAGTAGCCTGTTCATCATGTTCAAATGCTTAATGCTTGTTTATTAAAAATTATTACAATTTAATTTTACAAATTTAAGTGAGAGGTTATTAAATATAAGTTGTGTATATTTTTCTGTATAGTATTCAAAATTTATTGTTGTTTTTTTTTTGTTTTTTTTAATATATAAAGAAATAATTTACTAGAATTAGTTTAATTTATTATGTTATTTGAATATTTTTTCTCGATGTTAAAATTTTTGAAACAAAAAAATAATATAAAAGAACTACCAAACAAGATTATTCTAGAAAAAGTAGAAAAAACACTACCAAGCGATTCAGAAGGAGTTGTAAAAGTTGCTAGTGATGCAAAAAAGCTCATACGTATGCTATCGAAGCAATGGTTATTCTGGAAGAATAAGAAATAGAAAAAGAAAGAGATAAAAAAATTAGATGGGACAATTGTTGTTTAACAAAAGTAAAGAACTTTGAACTTTTATATGTTATTGGATGTTTTGCTTTTGCATTGGTATTTAAGAATTTATTGAGATTTTTTATTGAGTTGACTGATGTCTTTATTTGTTCTTTTCTTTTTTTCTTTTTTTTTTATGTTAATTCACCTCCCTAAGGCCAAAAAAGCCACTATAGTCAAGGAGGCTGCTTTAGTTATGGTATAACCCGGAAACACAAACTTTGACAAATAAGGCTGCTACATGGAGAAACAAGTTAAGCGTGATACTACCCAGAATGTGATGGTGATCAAACTCGGAACTTTTTGCTTGAGGCAAGCACTCTACCACTACACCACTACCGCATTATACCACATATATAAGTTGATTTGAGCTTGAAATTTTACTTCTACATTACTCATGTTTATAATTCAGTTTCTTTTCTGATTCAGCCACTACAGTAGAATAGGCCAATTTTTTTTAAATTTGGTTACAACCCTTTCTCAACTAATTAACTCTGAAACACGAACCTTGATAAACAAAGCTGCTGTGTGGAGAAACAAGTTGAGTTTGGTACTACTAGGGACATGGGGATGGGGATGAAGCTTGAAGCTTTTTGCTTACAAAGCAAGCGCTCTACCACTACACCACTACTGCATTTGATTCAGCTCTTGCGATACTAAATTTAGGCATTTGTAATTGCACATCATTTATAACCATGTATTCTTAATTGTATTGATATTAGTTTAGATTGCATTCAATACCAGATAACAATATTTTAGCATTAATTATAAACAACAAATAATGCTAATTATAAACATGAAGACTATAAAATTTATTATTTCAGGTTGGATCTAGTTATTATGGTTTTATTTCACGCTGCTCCACTAGAGAGTACAGATGGTGAGCGTTTAGCAAGAATGCCAGTTTGCAAGCAAAAAGCATTATGCATAAATCCTCATCATATTGGTTTGCTTGCAAAAGGACTTGATATATATTTATCAAATTATTTGTATAAAAAAGGTTTGTAAGTTGTTAGTTTATATTTTTTATTGATTTATTCTGAAAAAAAAAAATTTTATTGTTTACATTTTATTGATTGATGTTTTTTCTGTCTTTATTATATTTTTATTCCTGGAAAAAAAATTCTTTCCAGACATAGAAGGATCTCCAAATATTATATTGACTGGTATACTTATTAAAGATAAAACAACTCCTGTTGTACAAGGTAGGTGTATTTTCCAAAAAGTCTTTTTCAAATGAACTTGTGTTACAATAAAATAAATGAAAAAGATAATTTTTGTTTTCAAATGTCTGAAAAAACTCTCCAGCTGTTGAAAAGAATTTTAATTTTTTTTACCTATATATGTATATATATATATATATATATATATATATATATATATATATATATATAATATATATATATATATATCCCTATGTTGTTTTTTTTTAATTTTAACTTGTAATAAAACACACATTACTACAAAAAATGCTCTATGTCCAAACCTCTTTTGAAAAAGTAAATAAACTACATAAGAATGGGTGAATAAAAATATAAAAGAATGAAAGGTAAAGACAAGGGAGAAAATATAAAAATTAAAAATAAAACAAGAGGCAGGGTATGAAAAAAAATATATTTGTTGCTATGTTTGCTTGATTGATATTTTTTCCAATGGTTTTTATTGAAACGGTTTTCAATGGTTTTTATTGAAAATTTTGTTTGACAAAAAAAATTTATTGATTAATATTTAAAAGTTTTAATATGTTTAAAAGTATTATATTGAAATAATATTTATAAAGTATTTTAAAAAGTACTTTGAAAAGTTTAATTTTGTTTCAAGATTTTATATTTTGTAAGCTTTAAAAATGTTGCATTTAGTTTTAAAATATATCTTTAGAATGATGAATATTAAATTGTTGAAATTTATGTATTGCTAATTTTTTGTTGTTTAACTGTTGTATTTTTAAAATTTATTCAATAACTTATTTTTTATTTGTTTTAAGAAAAAAGTCCTCCTTATTCAGAGTTAGAGGTTTTTCATAAAGAACTACCTCCTGTTAAGATTCGAATAAATGATAGATGTCACCCGTTTTTACAACATGCACCAAGCACTGATCTTTTGGATATAAACAATAATAACAACAATGACTCTGACCTTCAAGGTATGTATGTCAATTGCATCATTTAAAAGGTTACATTATATATTTATACCTCTCTATCTATATATTCCTATAAAATTTTTATAAACAAAACCCTCTATCAATGTAGCAGCACTTCTTGCATATTTTACATATTAGTCAGTCAAAGTAGCAGCACTCCACGCATGTTCTACGTATTTGTCATTCGATGTAGGTAAACAGTAAAAAATAACAAAAACATTCAACATGTTTTTATTTTTGTTGAAAAAATGAAAAGTTGCGCTTTTGTAATTTTTTTAAAAACAGTGAAACTAATTAGTTTTGCCAATTAAATTTAATGGTTTTTACATAAACTGTAAACAATTTTGTTTTTTTTAAACACAAAGAGTCGTTTATATAGAGCCTAATTTGTGTGGATTGAAAAAAATCTTTCTCTCGAGAGAAAAGATTTGTTCAATCAAAATTTGCCAGATAACTTTGTGACAAATATTGAAATATTTTATTATAAAAAAAAAAAAATGGAAAGTGAAATATTATTTATCTGCAGATTTTTTATATTCAACTAACTTTATACTTAAAATTAAAGATCTTGTCTTGTGCACATATTTATTCTGTGTTGCAGCTAGCTGTTAGGATTTACTAATTTTTTACTGGTTACTGTTCAGTGTTCACAAATGAAAAGTTCAGTAAAAATTAGTGGTTCTGTTGCTGTGGTTACTGTTTATTCACTTCAAATTCCTAAACAAATTAGTTTATTAAATCATCAACTCATAGTTTTAGCATGCAATAGAAATTCTTAACAAATATTAAATACATTTTCCAATAAACTTTTAAAAAATACCTGATAAATATCAGAATTAAAAACTGGTCGATAAAGAAGAGTATTGAAATTAGAAGTTGGTTTAGTTGAAGATGCATTGGCAGATTCTTTATATGTCTTTTTAGTTCTGGGAGATGGTTTTCTCTATTTGTTCTTCACCTGGAGAAGATCCTGCAGCTTGCTTTCAGATTTTGCTTTCTCAACATTCTGCTGAATGAGTTTGACTGCTCTTTCTGAGCAATCATTCACAACTTCCATTAATTTAATAAACGTTTTAACTTCAAATAACTAGAAAAATTCTTCCAATTCTTCTGGGGAAATGTTAACCAAACACATTGATTTTCTGTAAGTTCTAAAATATTAAAGATTATCCATGATTCTGCAGTGATAAGTGTGTGCAATGGAGGCAGATTCTACTTATGCTCAAAATAAACTTTTTCTAAGAATGTCATGGCCTTGACTCTGTTATTCCCAAATTCTTCATTGCTCTTCCTATCAATATCCATGAGAACTTAAACCATTTTCTCTATCTCGTCAACATGATCACTATCCTCTGAAGCTCCTCAATATTTGGTTACCCGTTTTCCTTTAACTTTGACTGACAAGTTGGCTCTGATTATAGCTTCATCCTGATATATTATCTTGCTAGATATTTCCTTTGTGGAAGTTAAAGATAAAGTTAATTTTCGTATGTCACCACCTGTATTTTCAACAACAGTAGAAATCAATCCATTGAATTGATGTGAGGGTATACCCATGCCAACTGCAGTTCTAGCTGCAACAAAGAAAATATTCTTAGGAATTGATAAATCACTAGTTTTTTTTCTGCGAGATTTACAGACATAAAATATAATCTTCCCTCAAGGGATAATTTGAACTTGTCTCTAGATGTCTCATACCCAAATCCTTCTTTCATCTTTGATTTACATATGCTAATATATTTAATAGCATAGTTCTTAAAATTTTGACGGAGATTGTCATCTTAAGGAATAAGAGGAAAACCAGATTTTCTCCATGGAATCAGGATCCCAGAGAGAATGTAGCCAAGTTCACAGTTTGAATCATTTTCAACACATGAAAGTCTTAAAGTAATTACACAATATTTTGCCATATTGAAAAATTTTCTTTTTAAATTTACTTTATTGATTAACAAAAGACCTGGACTAACTTACCTGAATTAACTTTTACAATCTAAGGTGTAGGAAACTAAAGCTGAATCTTTCTCTTTTTTTTGTTCTCATTTTTATTATTAACTAATGAAATAACAGGCTATATACAATAAATTAATTGCTAAATATAACTTTTTTTAATATTACATTGCATAAATAAAATTGAATTAATAAAATTGAATTAGAATTACAAAAAATGCAACCTGTAGTTCTGCACAAGTTTTAATTATAGAAATATCTTCTATTCACTTCTGTAACATTTTCTATCAATTTTTATGATTAATAGGAAAAAGAAAAGCTTTTATTCAAGCTTTGTGAGAATTCAAGGGTCAAGCTTTGTGAGAAGTCAAAAAGGAAGTGATTGAATGTCTTTGATAATTTAAAGAAGTAAAAATTTCAATAATTTTTGATCAAAATATAAAGTTTGCTACGAAAAGTTATAAAATATTTCAATTGCAGACAAAAAACCCTGTAGTCTCTCTGAAATGTTGGTATAATATTACAAAATTTTCACTTAAAAGGACTTTTTTTCCAATTTTAATTGAAAAAGGTTTTTGTATGAATAATTTTTTAGATTAAATATTTTTTGAAACATAAAAAAAAAACCTGTTGTGCCAATTTTTATTTAGCATGCTCTATTAAATAGTTTTCAAATGTTGGGAAATATCAGAGAAAAGGGAGGCGTGAACTAGGAAGTTTACGCTTCCTTCCTTTCGTCACGGTAAGGAAGGAGGCGTGAACTTCCTAGTTAAATATACTTCCACGGTGCTCTGTGACAAGACCGTTAGGTCTTTTTGGGGCACCTAAACAACAATAAAAAAAAAAAAGTATTACTGATAAACATTTAGTAAAGAATAAAGGAAAGAAAAGATTATTCTTTATTCTATTGGATTTTAAAATTATTTAATCCAGATTGTAGAAAAGCTTGCTGCAGATAAATGGTATGCTATAAGCTGAATTTAAAAATTTAAAATCAAGTATAAATTTATAATTTTAAGTATTTCAAAAAGAATTCATTACAGCTTAGTTCCTAGTAAAAATGTTCATTTGATGGAAATGCTGAAGTTTTTTACCGCTGATTCTATAAAATACTTTCTAAAACAATTTCTTTTTGTAACCCGGCTCTTTCATGTTTTGAAGTAGCAAATCTTGTCTTTGTTTATCTGACTGGTACTTCTTTAATCAATGATATTATAACATTTAAGCATGTATCCTACTACATTACTAAAAAAAAACATTCTATTATGACTTAGTGGGAATGGTATCTCTAATTTTACAATCGGTTTTAGTTCTAATATGTTTAAGTTGTATCATGAGCAGTGTTTATCGTATTTGCTTGCTGCTAAATATGTATAATCGTCAACACTTTATATTGTTCGTAGATTTTACATTGCATAAGATAAGACGAAAGCCTTCAAGATTTAAAAAATTCAAGTCAAATTAAATTGATATATAACAAACATCAATTAAAAAGCACTCTCTAATTCGGAACAATAACCTTGAAGAAGAAGTGAGATGACTTGAACCTACTAAAACAGCTATTTTCATAGCCACATATTTTTTAATGATATTATTAGTATATAATTAGCTTGTGAAGTAGTAAATTAAATGCTTCATGTATAATTAACAGTTTTATGGTTAAGTAACTTTATAATAAAATAACAATAGAAGATTGAATAATTAAAATAATATTAAAATAATTAAAATAATTATAATTGTCTTTTTAATTTTAAAATACTAATTACAACACTACTATTTATACATATATTTTATATATATATAAAAAAAATAGTTTTGAACAAATCTAGTAACATCATTTTTTTTCAATTTTTTTTTGGTACGACTTAATACTATATTAATACCACTTTATATTACCTATGTAGCTAAATACTTTACATATCCAGCTACTAAAAAGATTTTTAGTTTTTTATTTTGCTATTATTGAAGCCAAAGTCATTACAAGATGGGTTGTCCTTGCAAGCACTAAGTGATATCTTATTTTAGTTAAAGAAAACCTTAGATTTTAAGATATTATTTTTCTGCATTCAACAAAATAGATAATACTTAGCTTAAACTTAAAGTCAAGATTTGAAATAGAACTCTGTAATTTAATCAACACTCTGTGAATTTCAAATCCTGTAATCTTCTTTTAATAAATTGTATTTTTTTATTTTAATAAAATATTTGATTTATGTATGTTAGTGATGCAATATTTGGTATCAGACTTTTGTATCATGTTTATTGCAAATATAATTTTTTTATTTGCTTTTATTTTTGCACAACATTTTTTGTTAGTAATTCACTTACAAAAAAGGTAGAAGTTCTACTGAAGGGTAGAATGTGCGATATACCCTTAGCAAAATAAAACTTTCTACCTTCTAAGGTAAAAAATTATTCCTTTAAAATTATAATTTTTTTTCCTTTTAAGGTAGAAAATTGTACAACAAATCATTATTTTAATATAACTTAGGTAATAATTAAGGTATAATTTTTTATCTAAGGTAGAAAATTATATCATATTAATGGTATACCACATATCCCACCCTAAGCTAGAAATTTTTAATTTTATAAAGTGTTTTCCAGTGCTTTTAAACCATCTAAAATGATAAAGTTGTACCTGTTTTTTTCTTGTTTCTTTACCTTTTCCAACTCTCACTTCAATACTAGATGTCACGCTAAAAAACTTATATCGCGCAATAAATGTTCAAAAAAAGTTTATATATGTACAAAAGATTGCTGTAAATTATTCAGCGAAAGAACTGTAAAATTATGGAATTCCTTACCAGCTCACATTGTTAATTCTCCTTATTTATCAATGTTCAAAAGAAAGTTAAATAATTATGATTTACAACGCAATTGCGTACTCTATTAATTTGTATTGTAATTATCTCTGTCTATTTTTATATTAGTGTTGTTACATAAGCGTAATCTTGTGATTACCTGTAATTGTGATTACTTTTTTGTATTTAATTTTAATGCAAATAAACATTATTATTAATTTAAATAAATGTACTTTTAATATATGATATTAAGCATTTATATTGATACACATCCATCTAGTTATAGAATCGATAAAATTTTTGCTATCTATATCATTTTTATATAGCATATAACTTATATGCTTATATGATATAAACTATATGGTTTGAATATGCATATTCATACCACTGCAAACTCTGTCATGTAATCTACATTAATCAACAGTAGATATCTTTATTTTATGCTATAATCACCATTTTTATTCAGAATACAAAATATATATGCAATCCAAAATAATAACTTCAAACAGAATAACCACAAAAATCACAATTTGCTCCTGCCATTTCAATATTTATCCCAAGAATATATGGAACTTAACTATAGCAAAATACAATGTTTACAATTTGATGCACTCTAAAGTAGTCTCAGCACTAGTATAGAGAGGAACTTAAGTGTTATAAGAAAACGGCCTGCGTTTCTTGACTAGTTAAATGCTATGACTACGATAATATATAATATGCACCTACATTTGTGGTGTAATAATTGAGTGCTTACTTAGTAAGCAAGAGGAATGATGTTCGCGCAGTTTTGTGTGTCAGCTCATGTTATGGAATTATATAACATTAAAAAAAAAATTAGTAACTTTCTTCATTATATTAGAATTGGTGTTTGAGAGGTCGGAAAAAGTTTAAAAAAATAAAAAGTGTTTTAATTTAGATTTATACAATTTTATTTTATGAAATTATCTTGCAAGAACTATTACTTTTAACATATTAAGGGCTTAGGATTAAGTCTGACATCTCCTTAAGGTTATTGATTGGTTGTTAAATTTTGACTCAAGCAAAGTTTAGTTGTTTACTGTTATAATAACATTTGCATTTATCTTATTGAGTCCTCTACTTCACATCTTTTTGGATCTTCACTATTTACCTTTCATGGAAACCATTTACACAATTCATTGCAAAGATAGCACCTCTCTTCATTGTGCTTCTCATTTTCAATTCTAATTCAAATTTATATCATTGTTAACATTTGCTACTCCATTTTAATAAAAATCTTCTACTTGTCTTTGTATGTATTTGTTTTCTTGTCTTTGTATGTATTTGAGCTGGATTTTCTAATAAATTCTAATTCCCTCTTTTATCTCTCTTTTATCTCTCTTTTAGACAAGATACAAAATTGCGTTGTAAATGTTGTTGGACCTGCTTTAGTTGCGAAGCTTGAGCCTATGTCCTGTCTTTTTAAGTTTTCATCTCTTTTTTCCTCTTTATCGTTTTTACTAGTACTATCACAGTGGTTGCAAGTTATCAACACTTGTTCCATTAACAAAAGTTCTAGTGTGAATCCTTACTTAGCTTGTTGTATTTTTTAGTATAAATCCTTACTTAGCTTGTTGCATTTTATTTACTCTTGATATACTCAAAAATCTTTTATTTATCTAGTTTTTTTTTATTTCTTAAATATCAATTCTTTTGTTTTTTTGGTTTTTATTTACAGCAACATCTTTATTTTCTATTTTTGTTTTATTAATAGTTTATTTATATTTTCTTTTAAAAGTTTTTGTGTTTTTGCAATAACAGTTATACTAAACATGTGTTTATTTATTTAGTTACCAAGGATCATAAAAACCAAGAAGAACATTTAAACCAAAGTATAAAAATGTATAAAAATTCTATGTACTCTAGTATTTACAATCGTACTATTGCTCGTCCTTCTCAAAAGCAAAGGTCATTTTCTAGTCCATCACCTCGTGCATATTCATTTGATTCGTCAAATGAGATCGATATTGACTTGGAACAATCAATGATTTATAGCTATCCTCAAAATGGATGTTCAACCAATCAATTCAATCATCAAAATGACTTTGCAATCAATCGGGAAGCGACAAATAGAAATTACCAACAATCTCAAGTTTCATCATTTCCACAATCTCATTACCAGGTTCCTGAACCTTAATCTTTATTTCTTTTAGAAAAACTTTTGTCATAAAAATGGCAAAGAGTATGGAAAATAAGTTACAATTAATAAAAATATTGTTATGATGATTTATGAAATTTTTAATTTTGTTTTTTATTTACAATTTACTTAATGTTTAATAGCACCAACAAATAAGCAACTATACGTCAACAATGTATGTGCCACCTATTGACTATAACAGCTCCTGTGGTTCAGAAATCTCGTCAGCCTCCATGGCTAGTTATAACTCAGAAAACAGTTTTCCTACTCATAACTATCAGCAGCCATCACATCAGCAACCTTCAGTTAACTTTTATTACGATGCAGTTACACCATCACGTTTTTATCAAATGCCTCTTCATAATATTCCCATGGGAGAAGTTGCAAGTAAAACAAACTTTTATACCACTTTAGGCGGGTATCCTTCAAGTTAATGAGATTTTTGTCCTTCAAATTTTTAGTTTGTAGAAAGCACATTTGAAATTGGTGACCAGTGACTAAAGATTGGTGACTAGTGATTTAAATTTGGTATCTTTTTATTTAATAGTCTAGAACCCGTTTAGATTTTTTTTTAAAGATTCTAAAGGAACAAAGCACTATGTTTTAAATTAAAAAATGAAAACAGTATTGGTATAAATAATATAAATAAATGGTATAATATGCAAATAATTTTTTATTTTAAAAAATTAATAATGAAAGTACACAAAAGGTTTTACCTTAAAGTAGTTTAGAGAAAACTTTGTTATTGGAGTATTTTCAGATTAGTATTTTTTCTTTTTACAACTTTTTAGATAATGCTTTTTTATTATCAACAATACAAGCAGTTTTAAAAAAACAACTGAAAGTTTTATAATTATAATTAAAAAAAATATATATCCATAACTTCTTAGAATAATTAGATTTTAGCGCAGTGTCGATCATCTTGTTCGGTTGACTCAGTAAAGATTTTAGTAACTAAGTAAAGACTTTAGTAACCGAGTAAAGATTTTAGTAAATAAATAAAAACTTAGTAACCAAGTAAAGATTTTAGTAACTAAGTAAAGACTTTAGTAACCAAGTAAAGATTTTAGTAACTAAATAAAAACTTAGTAACTAAGTAAAGTTTTTAGAAACTAGATAAAAACTTAGTAACCAAGTAAAGATTTTAGTAACTAAGTAAAGACTTTAGTAACTACGTAAAGATTTTAGTAACTAAGTAAAAACTTAGTTACCAAGTAAAGATTTTAGTAACCAAGTAAAAACTTAGTAACTAAGCAAAGTTTTTACTAACTAAGTAAAGATTTTAGTAATTAAGTAAAGGCTTAGTAACTAAGTAAAGATTTTAGTAGCTAAGTAAAGACTTAATAAAGTTTAACATATAAAAGTAAAGCCTAATTTTAAATATTTCTATTTAATTTATTTTAAATATGTAATATATTGAATACATAAAATTATTCTCATATTTTATGAAAAATATATAAGCATATTAAGTATATAAAAAAATATTTTTTTATAAAATAAAAGTTGTATTTTTTTTAAAAAAGTAATATATTATGCTGTAAATATTATTATGTGTGTTAAATGATATAAATCCATTTTATATTTTAATTCTAAACGCCATTTTTGGTCTAAAATCTAAATATACAATTTTGTTACTTTAAGACGTACAATTTTGTTACTTTAAGAAATGTCAACGGTGCACAGCGGAGTATTTGACCGAAAAAGTCGATCAAAAGTATTTCTTTGAAGTTACCGCAAAAACAAAAATTCTTTAAAGTTTCCGCGAAAATGTATTATTTGAATATAGTGAAATATTTTTAAAATATATGTTTAACAAGTATATTTGTAATTGAAAAAAGTATATTTATAAATATAAAAATATATATAGTTCATTAAAGTGAAATATTAAAAAAAAAAAAATTAATTAAAATAAAATCCTTAAAAACAGTGTCAATAACGTTACTGCAAAAAAATAATTGTTTCATAAGTACACCCTTTGTGTACACTCCGTAAAAGTATATTATGGCACTTGATAGCAGCTTGTTTTTTAAGTGTATCAAGAATATAGATCAAATCACCGAATGTTGAAAAAATCAGTTTGGAGAACGGTGGAGAAATTTAAAAAAAGTGTTTTAAATGTGAAGATGATGATAACATACTATGTGATTTGACAAACTTTGTTTTACAATAACCATCACTTTAATTTTCCATATATACATTTATATTTGAAATATAATTATATATATTTTTATATTTATAAATATACTTTTTTCAATTACAAATATACTTGTTAAATATATATATATATCTACTATAGCATATTTATATGCGCAATTGCTCACTTTTTTTGCTAGCCTAAATTAAGTGAACGTTTTCAGAAAACGATGAGGGAAAACGAAGAATAATGAATGAAAATGTTGCTGGCCCATGCCAAAATCTCAGTCGATGTAGCAGCACTCCACTGCGAATCAGGCTATTTGTCAGTCGATGTATGTACTGAAGCCCCCGGCAGCAGGCTATTTGACGTTAGGTGAGTATGACATCATCATGCTCACCTAACTCAGCAGTATAAGATATATTTTTTAAAGATATTTAAAAAAAAACATTTTTCGCGGAAACTTTAAAGATTTTTTTGTTTTTGCGGTAACTTCAAAGAAATACTTTTGATCGACTTTTTGGGTCAAATACTCCACTGAACGGCGATCATTATGAGGTTGATATTTGAATTACTTTTTTTTTTTTTTTTTTTTTTTGCTGCACGTTTAATACTACACTAAACCAATCGTTCCAATAAAAATAAAAAGTAAAAACTCAAAATAAAATAAAAAAACTTACAGGAGCAAAGACGTGGATACTCGAATGGTTTTCTTATTGTTCAAAAAGAGTGTTTACATAAACAAATGCCGCAAAATCGTCTAAGTTTGGTCGCCATCTAACTTTGGTCATTTAAGAATAAATAACTTAAATGAATAAATGTATTTTAGTTTTTGCAAACTTTAATTTCTTCAATAATATTTGTTGTCACTGTATATAAAAAAGTATATTTATAAATTATAAGAATCAAAAAATGATGATAATGTTTATTTGAAATCTGCTGTAGTAATTCGTTTGCAAAACAAGAGTTTTGAAATTAGGCATAATATTGAAATTTAAAATAAGCAAATTTTGAATAAAATGAACAAATTTAGATCTAGTGTTTTTATGATTCCGATAAAAACAACATTTAGCTGGAATGTCGTGAAACGTTTCACGACATTTCAGCTAATTGTCAACGCGTTAATTGTAAACAATGTACTTTTAACCAATTACAAAAAAAAATATTTAATTGTACCGCGCGGAAATAGTTCGTTTTCAAATGAAAATTTTAAAATCGTGCATATTATTAAAACTTCAAATAAGCGAGCTCTAAAAGTAACATTTAACATTAATATATTTTAGAATCATCTAAATAAATTAGCTTGCAAAAATAATTTTTGTTTCTAAATATTTTTTTTTTCAAAGGGCGCATCTATAAAGTATGTACGCATTAAAACTACTGATTTAAAATTCCCCCTCCCCCTCCCTCACCGCGTAGCCGGTTGTTAGAGCGCTACTAAAAGTTCCTAATTAACATTAGTCGTAGCAGCAGGAATTCTGGTTTAAATCTCGGCTCTTCCTACTCAGTGTATGAGTAGTACTTCGGTACGAAGAGAACTTTTCTCATTCTGCTAAATAAGTAGTAAACATCTATCTAAAATTCTAGTCAGTTAGATTAACAACTGTATGCTTTGAACAAACCCCTACCCATCTGCGTACATACGCATTGTTTATTACAAAATCAACCCCTTCCCCAATGCATAAATTTTTCCAAACATTAAAAACAAAATAAATATTAGTTAATTTATACATAACGTAATATTGATTTTTAAAACACGTGAAGTTTTAGAAACACGTGAAGTTTTTTAAAAAAAGTCAAGTTTTAGGAGAAACCGCGTACATCCCTGCTTTCTTTAACAAACACATCCCGCCCCTACCTTGTACACTTCCGTACGCTTTTGAGTAACCCTCTCCCCAAAAACATGTAAACGGCGAACTGCACATGTGCAAATTTTTCCATGTTTTTCTATGAACTTTTACAATTGTAAAGAATTTTTTTTTAAGTAAATTTAACATTTAAAAATATATGACTATCTTTTTTTCTCATCAGAAAATTTTTTTAAAACGGAAAACTTTTTTAAAGTGGCCGATCCCCTCAAAAATCATAAAAGTTTTTATTTTTTTTTACTTGATTTTTATGCAAATGTTTATTGAGATTATTACTATTAAAAAAGTTTCTTATACTTCAATTCAGTTTTTTAAATAATTAAGTTTTGGTAAACCATAGTTTTTAGGCTTCTCTCTCGGTCGTTTACAAGCGCTATGTTTTGGTACGCGTGCGTTAGAAAATCACTACAAATTTTGAACTTTTAAAATGGCTGCGGTTCTTAACTACAGAGAACATTTTATATAACAACCGTACTTTTGTTCTTTATTTCTTATAAATTGATGTTGTAGGCTTATTGTTTAAATAGATCAGTATATAAATACTTAAATTTCATAAGAGAATCGATAAATAAAGATTAAAAAAGTCTTAGCGTGATGAAACTTAAATTTTATAATATCATTATTTATTGATATCCAAGATTTGTTTATTTATTTGAAATCAGTTTTCTAGAAATCTAACCGTAGGAATTCATAAAAAATTTGTTTAAACATTAAATACATACGTGCAATCTTGAAAGTATTTTTCTGGTAAATGCTTCAACTTTTTTTTTGATGCAAAATTATACTTTGACTCAAACTTTGAGTCATTTTTTTATATATATAAAAAATTTACTTTGAGTCAAAGTAAATTATTTATATATATATAAAAATGTGAGTTATAACTATACACTAATTTTATATGTTCTAATATAATAAAGTGTATGTGGTTGTTATTAATACATGTATATAATATTAAATATAATATATTATTATAATTACATACACTTTATTATATTAGGACATATAAAGTTAGCAGGCAGTTATAGCTCAATTATATATATATATATATATATATATATATATATATATATATATATATATATATATATATATATATATATATATATATATATATATATATATATATATATATATATATATATATATATATATATATATATATATATATATATATATATATATATATATATAAAATTGAGTTATAACTGTCAATAATTTATTATATTTAATATCATATACAAGTAATAATAACAATCACATACACTTTATTGTATTAGAACATAAAATTAGTGTTTAGTTATAACTCACATTTTGTTAAATGTTATGAGCAGATTCAGATTCTAGAAATGGGTAGTAATGAGAAGAGCAGATTCGTGGATTCAGGCTGGCATGGAATCCTATATTCCCTCTCGACGATTCCAGGTCAAGCCTCACTCTTCTCCATGGTTTTCCTCGCATTGTGCTGCTGCAATTGCCAATCGAAACCATTACTTCCATATCTATCAGCAAAACAATACTCCAGAAAACAGACGTCTCTTTATTACTGCTAGGAACCATTGTAAAAA